TTTCGATCAACAAGCTCAGCAGCTCAGTGCTTTAACCCACTGCGCCACCAGGGGCTCCCTTTACTGTTTGCTTACTGTTGAAAATTACCTAGGGCCGACTCTGATTTATACTCCACTTTTTCTTTCTACAGAAGAGACTCAAAGCAGCTTTCTTTCCCTCCTCTCACACTGTTTCCCTTTTCCTTTCTCTTCCTTCCTTCCTTCCTTCCTTCTTTCCTGCCTCCTCTTTCCTTCTCCCTTCCTCCAACCTGTTTTTCTCTTCTTTCTTTCCTTTTCCTTTCTTTCCTCTCCTTCCCTTCCCTTCCTTTCTCTTCCCCTTTCCTTCCCTTCCCCTTTCTCCCTTCCCTTTCCCTTCCTTTCTTTCTCTTTCTTTCTCCTCTCCCCTTCCCCCTTCCTCTTCCTCTTTCCCCTTTCCCTTCCCCTTCCCTTCCCTTTCCTCCTCCCTCTCTTCCATATACACATGACATAGCGGCAGCCAATCTTTCTTTCCCTATCACATCACAGATGGCCACTTCACCCAGCAATAGCTCTTCTATCCCTCTTCTATCCCTCTGCTCTGGACCCTAAAGGGTTGGAGGTTTTAATACTTCAAACCTTCCATTGTTTTAAGTTGGATAATGAAGAGCATGTCTGCCACATTTGGTCCCGATCCATCAAGCCATGTAGAAGCCTTTGCCCAACCATCATAACATACATATATTGTTTTGCCAGTGTAGACAATCTCCAAGGTTGTCAATACACAGGAATCCTTCCATAACAATGTTTAATTTCACTATTAGGGCATTGAAAGAAATAATGATTCAAATGCAAAAAAAGGAAATGGGCCTCCAATATCAATGAGATGTTGAATCTACTCCTGCATTTTAAGACATTGTCCAGGGTGCCAAGCACTAATCCTGAAATAGGTCCAATATTTGCAGCTTGCAAGAAAACCCAGGACAGATTCCTCTTCCCATTCACAAGAATCATAGAATCATAGAATGATAGAATCAAAGAGTTGGAAGAGACCTCGTGTCCATCCAGTCCAACCCCCTGCCAAGAAGCAGGAATATTGCATTCAAATCACCCCTGACAGATGGCCATCCAGCCTCTGTTTAAAAGCTTCCAAAGAAGGAGCCCCACCACACTCCGGGCAGAGAGTTCCACTGCTGAACGGCTCTCACAGTCAGGAAGTTCTTCCTCATGTTCAGATGGAATCTCCTCTCTTGTAGTTTGAAGCCATTGTTCCGCGTCCTAGTCTCCAAGGAAGCAGAAAACAAGCTTGCTCCCTCCTCCCTGTGGCTTCCTCTCACATATTTATACATGGCTATCATATCTCCTCTCAGCCTTCTCTTCTTCAGGCTAACATGCCCAGTTCCCTAAGCCGCTCCTCATAGCTTGTTCTCCAGACCCTTGATCATTTTAGTCGCCCTCCTCTGGACACATTCCAGCTTGTCAATATCTCTCTTGAATTGTGGTGCCCAGAATTGGACACAATATTCCAGGTGTGGTCTAACCAAAGCAGAATAGAGTGGTAGCATTACTTCCCTAGATCTAGACACTATGCTCCTAAAGGCACCCCACTTCCCTTGCCATATCACAACACCTTTCTAAAGAAAACATACAAATGGCTATTCCTATAAGAATTGTAAGGACACACAAGAGACAACAGGATACATGGAAAGCGCAAGGTTTTCTTTACCTGTCACTCAGCGGGCCGAAGACAACGGCTCCAACCAAAAGGCCAGCCATGAAGATGGACTGAGAGATGTCATTGAGGTCTTTCCGGTCACAAACCAAATTAAACTAAAGGAGAAAGAGACAAAATCATTTGCAATTAAACTCCATAACCCAAGGCAACCCCAATTACTAGAAAACACAGAAAGCCAAACATTTATTCCATTTAGAAATGTAGAAATGCGAATTAATTCCCCATTTATTTATTTACCGTATTTATTTTCCACTTTTCTCACCCAGCAAGGGACTCAGGGCAGATTACATGGCAAACATTCAATGCCATTTAGACATACAACATATATAGACAGATACAGAGGCACTTTAACATTCCAGCTTTTCTGGCTTTGTGAGGGTATGCTTGATTTTGGTCACAGGGGGAGCTGCCGCTTCACTGTCCATTTGCGACACCGAGTCCTTTGATGGAGTACTTCCTCATTCTTCTGCACACTGCTGGAAGGTTTTATGGCATTGTAAATTAGTTAAATTAGCCTCCCCACATAAAGCGGTACCTAAATTTCCTACTTGACAGATTTATTTATTATTTGCAGTATTTATATTCCGCCCTTCTCACCCCGCAGGGGACTCAGGGCAGATTACAGTGTACACATATATGGCAAACATTCAATGCCAATTTTTGACATACAAACATATACAGACATACACAGAGGCTATTTAACTTTTTCTGGCCACCAGGGGAGCTGTCGCTTTCATCGTCCATCTGCGACGCTGATGAAGTACTTCCGCATTCCCCGCATGCTTTTGCTGGAGTGCTTTGCTGGAGTCTTTTTTATGGCCTCATAAATGAATTAATTTAGCCTCCCCACACAAGGTGGTACCTAATTTTCCTACTTGACAGATGCAACTGTCTTTCAGGTTGCAAAGGTCGACAACAGGCTACACAATTGGTTGGAAACCCACTCCAACCTTGGCTGGCTTCGAACGCATGACCTTTTGGTCAGAGTGATCTTGGTCAGATGCAACTGTCTTTTGGGCTGCATGGGTTAACAGCAAGCTAGACTATTAATGGCCAGAAGCTCACTCCAACTTGGGCTAGCTTCGAACTCATGACCTTTTGGTCAGAGTGATCTTGGTCAGATGCAACTGTCTTTCGGGCTGCATAGGTCAACAGCAAGCTAGACTATTAATGGCCAGAAGCTCACTCCAACTTGGGCTGGCTTCGAACTCATGACCTCTCGATCAGTAGTGATTTAATGCAGTTGGCTACTAACTAGCTGTGCCACAGCCTGGTCCATAGTTGAGTTCCCCATGCATTAGGAGGAGAAATGACAATGATTAGCATTATTTATTATCGAGTGTTTAACTAGGGATGCATCTACATTGTAGCAGTAATGCAGTTTGGTACCACTTTGACTACCATGGCCCAAGGCTAAAGAATCTTGGGAGTTATAGTTTTGCAAGGTTTTTACTTTCTCTGACAAAGCGTGTTGGTACCGCACTACAACTCCCAGGATTCCATAGCCTTGAGCCATGACAGTGGTGGTAGTGTTTATGATGATATATTTATATCCCACTTTCTTCTCTTAAGCAAGACCCAAGGCGGCTATCAATTTGGAGACAAATAACAATTAGTTTAGAATTAGAAAATGGGATTTTTCAGAACACACAAAGTTTAATTCTGCTCATGACATAGACAGAGCAAGGCCCTCTCCTGTCTCCCACCAGTGAGGTCAATATACTTTAGGTCTCAATTACTAATTCCCCAAAGCTTTAGCTAGGTTAATAGGCCTATACAACTCATTATTATAAATCTCTTATCCCAGTCAGAGTTTAACCCTGCACTATGAAACCTGGCACAAGTAGAAAATCTTATCTAATGCTTAAAGAGAATGACTCTTGAAGATTCAAGAGAAGAGTAAATGCACATGGGACAGTTATGCTGTTTTTGTTTTCGTTTTGTTTTTTCATGTCAGGAGCGACTTAAGAAACTGCAAGTCTTTTCTGGTATGGCAAGTCACTTCTGTCTGCAAGGACATTGCCCAGGGGACACCATGTTTTTCTATCCTGGGGGAGGCTTCTCTCATATCCCTGCATGGGAAGCTTGAGCTGACATACGGGAGCTCACCCCGCTCTCCAGACTCAAACCATCTGCAAGGACATTGCTCAGGGGATGCCTGGATGTTTTTCCATCCTGTGGGAGGCTTCTCTCATATCCCTGAATGGGAAGCTGGAGCTGATAGACGGAAGCTCTCCCTGCTCCCCTGGACATTGCCCAGGGGACGCCCGGATGTTTTTCCATCCTGGGGGAGGCTTCTCTCATATCCCTACATGGGAAGCGGGAGCTGACAGATAGGAGTTCACCCCACTCCCCAGACTCAAATTGTCTGCTAGGACATTGCCCAGGGGACGCCCGGATGTTTTTCCATCCTAGGGGAGGCTTCTCTCATATCCCTGCATGGGAAGCTTGAACTGACATACAGGAGCTCACCCTGCTCCCCAGACTCAAACCATCTGCAAGGACATTGCCCAGGGGATGCCTGGATGCTTTTCCATCCTGTGGGAGGCTTCTCTCTTATCCCTGCATGGGAATCTGGAGCTTACAGACGGAAGCTCCCCCCGCTCCCCTGGACATTGCCCAGGGGATGCCCAGATGTTTTTCCATCCTGTGGGAGGCTTCTCTCATATCCCTACATGGGAAGCTGGAGCTGACAGAAAGGAGTTCACCCCACTCCCCTGACTCAAACTGTCTGCTAGGACATTGCCCAGGGGTCGCCCGGATGTCTTTCCATCCTGTGGGAGGCTTCTCTCATGTCTCTGAATTGGAAAGCTGGAGCTGACAGACGGGAGCTCTCCCCATCCCCAGACTCAAACCATCCGCAAGGATATTGCCCAGGGGATTCCTGGATATTTTTCCATCCTGTGGGAGACTTCTCTCATGTCATATCCCTGCATGGGAAGCTGGAGCTGACATACGGGAGCTCACCCTGCTCCCCAGACTCAAACCACCTGCAAGGACATTGCCCAGGGGATACCCAGATGTTTTTCCATCCTGTGGGAGGCTTCTCTCATATCCCTGCATGGAAAGCGGGAACTGATAGATGGGAGCTCACCCTGCTCTCCAGACTCAAACCGTCTGTAAGGACATTGCCTAGGGGACACCCGGATATTTTTCCATCCTGTGGGAGACTTCTCTCATGTCATATCCCTGCATGGGAAGCTGGAGCTGACAGACAGGAGCTTACCCCGTTCCCCAGACTCAAACCATCTGCAAGGACATTGCCCAGGGTACGCCCAAATCTTTTTCCATCCTGTGGGAGGCTTCTCTCATATCCTTGTATGGGAAGCTGGAGTTGACAGACCGTTCACCCTGCTCCCCAGGCTCAAACTGTCTGCTAGGACATTGCCCAGGGGATGTCCAGATGTTTTTCCATCCTGTGGGAGCTCATGTCCCTGCATGGGAAGTTGGAGCTGACAGATGGGAGCTCACCCTGCTCCCCAGATTCAAACCATCTGCAAGGACATTGCCCAGGGGATGCCTGGATGCTTTTCCATCCTGTGGGAGGCTTCTCTCTTATCCCTGCATGGGAATCTGGAGCTTACAGACGGAAGCTCCCCCTGCTCCCCTGGACATTGCCCAGGGGATGCCCAGATGTTTTTCCATCCTGTGGGAGGCTTCTTTCATATCCCTGCATGGGAAGCTGGAGCTGACAGATGGGAGCTCACCCCGCTACCCAGATTAAAATCGCTGATCTTTTGGTCAGCAGTTCAGCCAGCATAAGGGTTTAATCCATTTCGCCACCGGGGGCTCTGAGTTCTGCTGCTAGGACTGTACCACAAAGGAATGCATTTGGGAATGTTAAGAGTTTCAATAGCATCGGTCCTGTTGTGCATCAGTTTCAAAGCAGAATAGTCCATTCATTGGCTCCCCTGTGTAATAAATGCCCTTGCTGAATACAGACATTGCAAAAATGCTCAATTCTAATTCTACAGACATAGGTCCATTCACAAAGACACTAGTCCCCAAGTGAACTCCAGGAATGAACCTTTTTTATTATACAGTCAATCCTACACACTGGGGTTAGAGCAAGCATGGGCAAACTTCAGCCCGCCAGGTGTTTTGGACTTCAACTCCCACAATTCCTAACAGTCTCAGGCCTTTACCCCTCCGCCCTATTCCATATAATGCATATACATTTCAAGAGAGATTGAACTGCCTATTTTCCCAAAAGGAGTATCAATGAACTTACATCGGTCAGCAAAGTTGGCTTTTGTGCCTCTGGATACACCCAGCCGGACTGGCATTTTTCCGTAGCATTGAGTCCCTTGGTGAGGATCGTCTCGAGGTCTCCCTCAACCGGAGTGTACATCGTGCATTCCTCCAGCGACCCATCCGGCTTCCTAGGGATGGTCAAGTTCACCTCCTGCTCCTGGGTCAGGTTCAAGCCCTGGAGCCAGCTCGTTTTGCAGTAATGGGGCTCCTCTATGGCTATAAACTGCTGCCCAAAGATGTGGAAGGGAGTGAGGAAGTTTGGGATGCAGATCAGGAACACCAGCCATATCTGAAACCTCCCGAATTCTCCCACCGCTTTCAAGATTTCTCCAAATTCCACCATTCCTGGTTCTTCAAAAGCTGGACTGAGGAGTCATCACACCCAGGACCCGAAATTAATGTTTAAACCTAATTAAGGAGAAGGTGAATAATTAATCTGGCTTTCTCAGTAGATAAATTTATAGATCCCATCCCACCCCATCAGCTGCCAAGAAGCATGTTGTGTGCTTATCGCTATGTATGCAAGTTGTGCAAAACCGTTCTGTGTTGACCTTGGAATCTGTTTGCACCGATCAAAGCTAATACAAGTTCCAAGAGTCCAGTGTAAAGGGACAACGTAATAGTCATCTCAGAGAAAGCATTGCTGGGGAAGTTAAGGTAAAGGTTTTTCCCTGACATTAAGTCCAGTCATGTCTGACTCTGGGGTGTGGTGCTCATCTCCATTTCTAAGAGCCAGCGTTG